CTCTCTCTCTCTCTCTGCACCATATGTAGCATTAAGCCATATAAAAATTTCATGAACAACTTATTTTTCTACACAGGTAAAACTAATATCTCTTATGTACTGTAAACGAAATAATTTAATTCACACAGTGGATTTTGAATTTTATTTTTTACAGTAGAAATAACAAAAAATATGCTCGCGTTTAGTAACTATATTTCTTTTAATATCATATATTTTTTGTAAATTCGCGATAATCGTTGACAGCGAAAAAGGGGTTGTTGTTCAGCTGAAAGATTGATCGTCATTTATCGGGTGTGTTAAACTATTCGAATTGGAACTCGCGATATCGACTCATTGATGTATCTATCCGCCGTTTTCCGTAACGATCGCTTTTAATGATTGACATGATTGTGTAATAGGCAGCATCCGCTGCGGATGGCTGCTCTCATTTACAGGTACCCTTAAAGCCGGCGGCTTGCAGTAGCGGCGCCGTAAAGATTATTGACGTGTTAACTTTGCTTTTACACGCTTTACCTTCGGCATGTATACAGAACGCGCAAGGGATGAGAGTTACGATCACGTGTTTATCGTTCGCGCAAGATTTTCTACCGGCGTACTTCGCGCATCGGACGTAACGCATCTTCTGTAATTCCTTGCAACATGCTACGGCGAATCTAAAATTACTACTGCTTTCTGCTTTACGGCACCTAAGGTGCTCGTGTAGAGTTTTATTAGAAAAATGCGCGTATAAAAATACGGATATATTATCTCCTTGCAGTAATTACGGAATCGCGACGACGTAATTTGCTCCGCGCCTGAATAATTCACGCGCGCTCGAATTTTACGGCCAATGAGAGTTGGATTTAATATTTAAATAACTCGGACATTAAAGGATAATGTATAATCCTATTATTAATATTATTAAAATTGGAGATATTTTTGAATTATTTTGTATCACGGACCTTTAAATTAAATCTCCATTTCCCTTTTCCTCTTTTTCTCGTGTCGAAATTGCCATTGGAAATTTTTATCAATCACGCGTGTGTGGCGTGTATGATGATATGTAACATCGGAAAATGTATAGCCCCCGTGTCAGACAAGAATGCACGCTATCGCGACCGTACAGCGGCGCATTTGTCAATAAATCAGATCGCAGGGTCACGTTCGACTTTCGGTGGCGCCCGCCGTTGTGACGCACGAGGCTCACATGGCCTATTTCCTACGAACGATTTTCCGCGAATTGCCTCTATTATGCCCAATTATCGGCTCCAACGAAGCCTGCCTCTTCGGACGATAACGAGAAGGAGAGAGGCAAAACTTCGGAGCAAACCTCCGACTCACTTCCAACATGGGGAAAAAAAATTAGAAATCAAAAATAAATTTCTCGCGTTGTCAGTGATCATTGTTGTTGAAAAATGGACACACGTGTGACCGTATTGAACAACTAGGGATTCCGAGGTGACGTTTTTGAACGTGGTCGAGCAAATGAGTAAGGGTCGAAGGTGGAGGAGGGTGCTAGTCTCACCCTATGTACGATCACAAAGTGGAGAACCTGGAAACACGCGCGTCGTCCAGACTCGACGGGAGGGATGGTGGTGGTGGTGATTCTTGAGGCTATTCTCGACGGTAAATGAACGTCACTTGAAGCGAATCTTGTTTACGCGACGACCGCGTTTCTCCACGGCGTGATTTCCGCGTATACGTCGGAAAAACACCGAGCAATTAGGGCCTTTCTTCCCTGAATTCGACATCCACTCACGTCGTATCTCGGCCTTTTTGCACTGAGAAAAAAATGTTCTAGATTTTAGTAAATGTTAGTTTGCATATACAAATTTATTAAAATAAAGAAAATTTTCCTTTTTATTAGTATATTTTTTTCCTAGTGAATACACTTATACTAATAAAAAGGAAAATTTTCTTTATTTTAGTAAATAGAGTCACAGTTGTATATGCAAACTAATATTTACTAAAATCCAGAAAATTTTTTTCTCCGTGTGGAATTAACACTCGCGGAATTTTTCGTGTCGCCGTCGTTTTTTCGTATTTAGGTCGGATTCCTCCAATGTATAATGATTAGCGCTTGTTTCAATTTATTTTACGTTTTTTATAACATATAATTACCGTGTTGCAATCGACATTATGACATAGACATAGGAGAGCCCTGCTGCTGATTGCTCCGTTATTCCCATTTGTTTTCTCGTTTAACGAAGAAACCTCCAACAAGGGTCGATCAAGAAAATCAGGAAGTTATTGTTTCGCGTAGAATCAAGAGCGTACAAGATGGAGTTGTTTTCTCGCGTGTTAAGACAGGGCTTCTAATTGATAGATCCAGTTTCGGTGATTGATTTTTTATTTGTTGCATATAAGGTTTACAAGGTACTAATAGCAATCACTAACAATTGATTGAAATTGTCTTTCCTTATTTATCTTTTTATATTCTTTTATATGCTTCATTGTTGTAAAGAAATATAAAAAGAATATCTTTTTCTCGAAGTTTTGCAGCCAAAACGATTGAATCACGGTCGTTCCATTGCGACTTTGACCTGTTGAGCTAGAAACACTTTTTATAACGAGTTATCGTCGGCTACCCTCGTCATGGAAGCCGCCTTATTACGACGCCGGCATACCACCGCGATACGGCACATCAACTCGCTTATAATCCGATTTCATTGTTGTGTCGTCGTCGCCGCCGTCGTCGTCGTCGTCGTCGTCGTCGTCGTCGTCGTCGTCGTCGTCGTCGTCGTCGTCGTCGTCGTCGTCGTCGCGGCAGTTCGTACAAGCGAGATTAAAGTGTGGTCGCAAAAAGTCGGTAAAATTGAGGCGAGCGTAAAGGAACGTCGGCCAGGGTTGATTTTTAATTCATTCACAGGTAGTCGAGTACTCTGTCGGACACAACTCGCCGGACCTCCTCTTATAGTCGAGTTAATGCCAGTCAACCCCGGTGTTTATGAGGGATAATAAACCGTTTAACTCTCCCTGGATTTTCCTATTAAATATTCAGACAAATTCGCCTTATAAGATGAAAATTTACAAATAATTTTTTAGATAAATATACATATATATATTTTTGAATGTCAGAAAAATTATCGATCATTTCTAGATAATATTTTATCTATTACATTTTTTTATAGGCAGTATATAATGTGACTGTATGTGGTTCCGTTTGTAAATTGATTCGGCTTATGAAATGAACACGTTATAACTTGAAAATTTCCATTTAATTTGTATTCCATTTCATTACCGTGAAATATTTATATTTCCCCTGTGCCATATACACATAAACCCGTTCGCGCGATTAATTGATCAACTAATTAATTAAATCAATTATCCGCTAATAACTCGTAATCTACAAATTATTTTTAATTATCCACTTCTTGTTCTCTTTTACTTTGTATCGATTGACACGCTCAAATAAAAATATCCGCCACTCGTTCGAGCTCCATTCCGGGATGGTGAAAGAGGGAAGGGGGATTAAGGATGGGGCGCCTCTGAAATATCCATCTTCCTTAACCCGGTAAGAAGCGCGTTTTCCGATCAGTTAAGCCCGACTAAACCTCAGCGACGTTCCTAAGAGAGCCTTGGAACGGGCTAGGAAAAGCGGTAAGGAAAAAAAAGACGAGGAAAAGCGACGGTGAAGCTAAGAGAGAGGAGGAGGAGGATGGCTTTCGGAGGGTTCTTTCCGAAGCGAGGAAGGTGGAAGCGTCGTGCTCTCGAGTTCGACTAGATAGAGCTGTGATTGAAAACACCGCCCCCGGCAGCACGAGCTTCGAGCACTTAAGTGTGCGTACGCACACACGTACGCAACGAGGATATATACGTACGTATATATTTCGCGCGTTCTTCGACTTCCCGCCGCCGCATATGGAATAATATAAGCGGGATTGCGAACTCGTCCGGGAATTTGATAAGTTCCTCTCTGCCTCGTGCGCGAAAATGAATCCCGGGTGAAACTTTTGCCGGACTGGCTAACCGCATCTTTTTCTCCTAGAACCCGTGCGAAGGCTTGTTTCCTGCGTGCGTCCGCGTCTTAAGCGCGATATCCTTCCCCATCCGGTGGTTTTGTAATGTGGAAAATTGACATTATCTCTTTATAGTATCAAGTGCAGGTACACACTAATCATGCAGATTGCACTGTCTTTATGCCCTGTTTTGTTAGCGATAACTTCGATCTTCGTTTTTGTGTTTATCGATTTTCGCTAATCGTTGATCAACCCCGTCTTGGAGATAAAAGAGATTTATTAAATTTCTCCGCTAAAATCTGTGTATCTATATGTCGCAAGTGTATCTATATTTCGTGTAATTCGTTTTTTTTTTTGCAAATTTTTTAGAAAATTCACAAAAAAACGGGATATTATGGAATGAATAAAAATTACACAATTTTACTAGTGATTCTGCAAAATCCTAGGTTGAGTGAAATTGTGAGTTAAAATTTTTATTAATTTATATTTTATAAATATATTATAAATTATATTTATATTAATAATTGTTATTTATTGCACAATATCTCGGTTTTTTATGAATTTTTTAGGGATTTTGCAAAAAACGTATTATACTAAATCCCTGTGACCCCAATATATAATATTTAAAAGATAAAACATTTAATCGCGTATAATAATAGCGTATATCTTTGGTAGGAATATATGCAAGATTATTACAATTGTTATTACAAATATCTATATTGGGGTTCATACGAAATAAACTGGATAATTGTCCATGTAAATATGTACATTGAAGCGTTAAACGTTAGCTATATTTAAACAGTTATTAAATTGTATTGTATATAGGCATGGGGGGGGGGGACAATAACAAGATTATTTTCTAAGGTGTTACATGATCCTAACATCTTTTCTTATTTATGAGTCCATTTATATCTTTTTTTCCTTTCTGGGCTATATATTTATGGTGAGCTAGACATTAAGTTCTCAGCTTATTCCATCCGACGACTCACCAGGGATCCATTCTTTTTGTTCCAGGTTAAGCTCGACAAAAGTCACAGCGGCAAACCTTCCAGAGTCATTCATATTAGGAACATACCTAACGAGGTGACAGAGGCAGAGATCATCCATCTGGGTCTGCCGTTCGGCCGTGTCACCAATGTACTTGTTCTCAAAGGCAAGAATCAGGTAAGTCCAGTTTAATTACAGACGTTTACGCGACTGTCTATTTCAAACTATTTAGAAAGACACATACAAGGTCGTTGTAAATCGTTACTTGCTGCTGACAGTAGCGCAGGCTAAAAGTAATAATATAGAATTAACACACAAAAGAAGAAGAATTGCGCGGAAGAATATTCTATTTACTCGGGCTGGTCGATCGCGAAATCTCTCAGCGCTGCGTTGTACTGAACGACGACGTCGTTCAGTACAACGACGCCGTTTACACGTGCTCTGCGACATTGCACACTTGCTAGGCGGAGATGAGAGTGCTGGAGAGAACGAGAGAGAGAGAAAGAGAGAGAGAGAGTTTGTGCCACATGACGCGTTTCGACCGGCGCGATATGAATGCAATATAGCGTGCAATACCGGAGACAATCGAATCGCCGATACGCGGTCGAATCGATTCGACTCGAGTTGAGTCCAGTCGAGTTGGCGATCGTCCGTTTAAGCATTATTATCCATTATTACCCGCGTCGCGCTCCACTCCACGTCGCGACAAAGGCGAACCGTGTTCTCTACCCCATGGAAACGCAACCCCTTGATGTACCGTCATTCTCGACACTCTCTGACCCCCACCCGGCAGCGCGCCCTTTCTATCGATGCTCGTTCGTGACGCTACACGCATCGCAAGGCTATTATTTCGTACGGTGAGAGCCGGTTTATCGAGTTGCAGTCTCGGTTTATCGAACGACGTTTCCCATCGACCAGCTTGTCTCGCTCTCGTGTTATCCGCATAGATGTTGCGCTTATAAACGCACTTACGAACTTCTTTGCTTCGGTTGTTTTTTTTTTCGGTGGTTTCGGTTTCCATTGATTCTCAGAATTTTATCGTATTCGTCAGATTATTTATATATTATTTAATACTTCATTTTTTTTTAATATAAATATTGTTGAAAGCTTGTATCCGCGTATAAAGAGAAATCTTCCATTAACGAGGAAATAAATTATATCTTTCACGTTTCAGTATAGTTGTGATTTGGTTTGTATAAACTTTAATGCTTCCTCTTTACTGCGCGCGCCACGGTTGGATCAAAATCCGACGGAATGGCAAATTTAGAGCAATTTCGTGGCATAACTATCGTAGCGGCGCGATCGAGTTTTACGAACGATATCAACCATCCGCGATCTCTCCCGGAGCACGCTCAATTACGCATAAACGAAATTACGCGAGCGCGCGCGAGCGTCGTTCCGGCCTGCGTGATCAAAATATCAAATTCGCTTTGGTGGTATTAATTCCTCTGCCCGCACGTGCGACAATACTCGCCGGAAGGTTAACATCGTTTCATGAAGCTCTGCGGGTTCTGCGCGACGTGCGTCGTCGGCAACGCGACGGCATATTCAAATAATGACGCTTGTCCATCTCTCGACTTCGCGCCCGTATGCGATGCAATCGCGATAAGTGGTCCTCAGATATCCTCGACTGCTCCGTATCTCTTATCCACGCGTTTACAATCAATTTTCTTGTGAGAAGTATGGATGCGTCATTATCTTGACACGAATATTCGTCATAAGTTTAATGGAACAAAAATAATGCATATAGAAAATGATTTTTTACCTTTTATAATCTTATAGATTATATAATATTACATAATTTAATGTTAAATATTTTAGTGTTATTTACATGTGCTATATTATTTTTATATTTATATATCATTGCTTCGTGCTTAATTTTTAGTTAATTTAAAAACTTAATGAAAAAATGTAATAAAGAAAATTATAAATTTGAAGATTTTTTGCGTGAAAAAAAGTTGGATTATACTTATTTTTCATAAATTACTTTCTATATAGCACATTGTTCTACGGCCTACGCTATTTCCGTCGCACAAACATAGAGCTTTATATAAAAACGAACAACGCACGCCCAACGCACTGTCACAATGTCTCTACAAAATCCCACAAGTTCTAGTTGCAATGATTACTCTCAGCAATGTAAGCACGGATTGCAAAAAATGGGCCAACAGCTTCATATTGTGTATACCGTGCCAGATTTTGAACAATGTAGATAGTCAGCATACCGAAACTTCGCATATTCTCTTCGCGTTTGAAATACACCAAAAAATTCAGGTTTCACGCGTTTTGATACTTTAGAAATTAATAACATATATTTCTCGAAATAACGTATATTTAATAATAACAGAATCCACTTTTTTAATATCTCATCGTCATACAAAACCCGGTATTAAAAAGCAGAGGGGTTTATATAGAAAAAAGATTTGTTTATAATTTAAACACATATCTGGTAAATGTCAGCTGAAAATTCACGGAATATTTCATTAATTTTACTGATAAACGATTACGTTTAAATAATACGGGATTATATTATCCTACCTTTTTTTTAATCTCGCTTTAACGTTTGTGCTCGTGCCAGAGAGGCCGATCAATGATTCGTTCGAATTTACTGGCGGTGCACCGAAATCCGCTTTACCGCAAATTATTCCGGAGGGGGTGTTTTTCATGCCGGCGGTTCCTCGAGCTCGCGCAAAATTTTTTCGATACGAATTAATGGCGAATCGTCTGAAATCATGGGAGGGGTCGAGTGCGAGCGGCAAGGATGTGATTTGAGGATGGACGGGGCTTCGAAAGGGGATTAAATTGGAACACCGAGTATTCATCGTAGCTTACCGAGCGGGGAATATTTGAATAACTTGTAAATCCCTCGAACGCGTATTTGATGGCGCGTTTCGATTTTGAATTCTCCCACGACTCATTTTAGTTTCCCCTATGCCGATGTTTAACCACCCCTCTGTACTCCCGATTTGATCATACTCCTCCGCTGAACCCCTCGTTGTAATTTGCTAAAACATCATTTTAGTCAAAAGTTATTACTCATTACGTCGATAAACGATCGTTTCCTCCAATTTTACCTTAAAGTATTACTTGTTGAGGGAGAAGGGCTGCGTTTATTAACAAAATGATTGGAGCGCAAAATTTTGAGTTGATGTATTTAACAATCTTAAAAATTCGTTTATATGGAAATATATATATATTTCTGTGCATCTTTAAGCGCATTGTGTAGATTAAAAGCATTCTTAATTTTCTTTTTTGTTCGAAGCGGTTTTTCGGCTCGTACACTGTAATAAAAAGAGTGGAATTAATTCCGCTAATTAGAATACGATAACGCCATTACGATCTCGTTATTTCGTTTGCGTTTCGAGAAATTTGAATCCTTTGGGTACAAAATCAGGGATATATGGAATGCATGAACCTTTCATCGTTTGCATGTCGCTTCAAAGCGCATTGCCTAATCAGCGTGGTTAATTGCAGCATACGCTTTGCCCGAGATACGCAATAGGCGAAGCGTCCCTATTCGGAATCCATTAAATGACTGCGCTATAAGCGGACACAGAACTCCTTCAAAGGAATGTTTGCTCAACCATCATTACATTACGCGAGTCTTGCGGGGTAATTCTCTATTTATACCATAATACATCTTCATTGCGCGAACAACTTCAACAAAAATTAGATTACCTTGGTATCGAGTATTCGCCGTGCAAGATATTTCCGATCTTACACGTTGCATGCACGACATAAACGTATAACGACAACCATTCTCGCAGAATATAATAGAAAGGATGAATAATTCTCACGTTTTTTTTTATATATTTTTTATTGCATCCCAAGTTTACTTCGAAAAGTATTTTACGCACACAGTTGAAAATAATTTTATCGAGATAAATGATCGGAAGGCTTATCTCAATGTCAGTATATATCGCTCTTGCAGGGCGATATCTCATGTAAGATATCTCATGTAAGATTGCGATGCGTCATACGCACACGTGCAGTTTTGCGGGAATTTCGCCGCCGCTAATGCGTATGTAATTTGCACGAGGGGTAAATCTCTTCATCTGGCTCAATGCGGCGAACCGGTGCATCGATGCATTACTTTAATCCCCCGCCCGGTATAAACTGCGGCCCGGCTCGATTCGCATTATCATACCTGTTGTGCGCCACCGTATTAGAGTTATCAGTGCGCGTATGCGTGGGGTATGCACGCGAGCATTAAATGCACTCGCATAATCTCGGGGGGCGCGTCGATAAAGCCTCGTCGTCGGCGATCTACACTGAAAGCCAGTCGGGTGACCCGGTGATTCTCACAAATTCGTACGTAAGAGAACGCGGTTTCATCGGTCCGTTACGGATCGACAATTTTCGATCGTCTCGCGCGATGAGATCGTTCTGTGTCCTGTCTTTCGCACGTGACTACTTTTCCTTGGTTGCCCGTATAGACAAACTGCGTGGAATTTTATTTCGACACTGCTTGTTCTTCTTTCATCTATATATTTTTATGGGGAACGAAAGTTTATATACGTTATAGAAAAACATTCGAACTGCAGTCCGATAATTTCGTAATTATCTCTAACGAATAGGAATCTAATTTAGCCAAAATGCGATAACGTGGACAATACGATTTACTACTTACTACCGTAACCATCACGAACAGGAATTACAATTGTAATAATCAGGAAATTATGGGCAACAGTTACAACCATTAGCCGCAGCTGAGAAGGCTCTCCCAGGTGGAATTACGGGGCAAATCGCAGACACGCTCTGTGTTTCGTAAATGCAATTTCCCGACCACCGGCGGCCTCGTTCAGGAATCGCGATTCGCCCTCCTCCCCGACCGCGTTTTCGACGGCGTGTCCGCCCGCGGCGGCTAAGACAATCCCTAAGTAACTCGATCAAGTGGGGAAACTCGCGTTATTATCGTACACCCGAGCTTAAGCTTCCCAATTACACGCAAACAAACGGCCACGACGACGAGGACGAGGACAACGATGGGGCGGACGAGAGGAAGCGCATGTCCATTACGACGCAGTAGTAAATCGAGTTTCACGATGAACCCGCCGGTTCCCGGGCCGCCGGCCTGACCCCCGCGGGCACTTTCGCCGTGTTTGCTTTGATTCGAAGTTTCCGGTTAAGTTGGTTACCGGAACGGGCTCTTTGTTCGATCTCGCAAATTCCCGCGC